CAAACGCAGCAACAAACTGCTAAATGTCTGCAGCTGCTGCCATGTTGCACATGCATTTGTGCATGTGTGTGCCTGTGTGTGCCTGTGTGCGTGTGCAAGGAGCAAGTTTTCAATCCGTAAAACTAGACCTAAACCTACAAACCAGAACCATTCACACTACACCCCCGTCGTCACCCAGTTTTTGATTAGTTATTGTTGCAACCGAACCGAAACTGAAAACTGGAAACTGAAAGCTGAACCGAACCGAATACCCGCCTACTTGCCACCCAAAATGTTCACTCACCTGCCGCAATGTTTCACAATATTCGTGCAGCTTTTGATTAGCTGCAATTTTATTCGCTTTTTTACTTAGTTGCGTTTTTTTTAGCACTTTCTCATCCCGTAAAATTGCCTCGATTTCCCAGCTTTTCCACCTGTTGACATCGCTGAACGGCGGATTTATCGATTGTGCGTGAAAAACTGAAAAACTGCGAATGCCCATGGGCCTATTGCTTCGAAAAGTCTGCTGCTAACATTTCAATCGCTTTAGCACCTCAAACGTTAAAAATAACTATTCAAATGAAGCTCAAATTAAAATGATAAAGAGCGAAATTTTGCAAAAGGAAATATAATTATTCAAAAAACCATCTCGCAGTAAAAAAAAAAAACGTATAATACAAATAGACTCAAAAACATTTTTTTTTGTTGTACACATATAAACAATACTAATTTACAGAATATAAATAATTTCTCCGTAGGTATAATTTTACTAACTTCAGGAATTAAAGGGTAATACTTTTAATGAAGTTCTGTTGCGGAATTACTTTGAAACGGAAATGGAGAATATATAGGAATATTTTATGGCTTTTGGCCAAGGACAGCACAATCAAAGGATTGCCGAAAGTTGGCGATTATTTTCTTTGGTTTTCAATTTGTTAACGATTTACGATGTGATGTCGCATCTTACACTGACGTTTTACGACATTTTCAAAGCCATTGGACACAAAAGTAGCAGAATCGTAGCAGCAAAATGGGCGAATGGGTCGGTTGCCTATCGATGGACACGCGCTTACTATAAAATGTCTTGGATATTGTCTGATGATGACGTGGCCAAAGCAGCCAGCACACTGGGGGAAAAGATACCTATTTACATGCTATATTGGCGGGAAATAATCTTATTTGAATGGCCAATCGTATTCGTACAGTTACAGATCCCTGTGTTTCTAGCACTGAACTTCATGCTTTAAAATCGCTTATTAGATCTAATTAGTAAGCGAATATTTTTTTCTCTGTGCACAACCACATGTTCTTGGCAGATATCTGAGCGCTGTCCTTCGCTATTTGTTCCCTCCGACAAAGTACATGCGTTATCAGGGGAAGTGGGCCGTGAGCTTGTCCATAAATTAATCGATGCCAATGGCCAAAGATCTCGGCCGGCATGGAAGGGTATCGCAAGGTCATCTGTAGCTTAGCCTGGTTTATGTCGATTCATTTGGTTTCGCTTCGTGTTTTGTTTCAGTTTCAGTTTTGATTTTGATTTTGATTTCGTATTTTGGCTCTGCTCTCTGCTTTCGCGCCGCATTTTATTGGTCTTGATTCGCTGGGTGTGTCGTTGAACTAAACTCCTCTATAAATATAAATATCAGCGCCGATTTATCGCATGTCTGTCTGTCCCACCACCGTCTACTATATCCCATGTGCGTATGTGTGCGTCTCTGCGTGGGCCCATAAAACACATGCTAGAAACAGAAGCGTCCACTTTTGATCGCTTCTAGGCCCATTTCCAATTGATTTCATTTCGTATTGCCAATTTGTTAGGGCGACAGAGAGAGAGACGCGTAAATAGACGTATTTTCCCAGGGCTAATCAAGCCTAACTATATAACTAGTGCCCTTGAGTTCCAACGTATTGGATGCTATATCTTGTTGAAGTGAAATTTGAAAAATGTAATATTCGATGTTTTATTTTTCAAGCTACATACTTACAAAACATGCTATCTACAATACCCCATAACTTGAAAAGCTTGTCCTTGGAAATTAAAATGATTTTTACTTCGAAATCGTTTCAAAGTTATAAAGGTGTTGTCCTTAGGCCAAGTTTTCGTACATGAATAGTTCGACAATTTTAAATCTTGCAAGCAGAAGCTGTATTTTTAATCAAACTAGGGTACACACTGGCTAAACGAGTATCGGATACATTTTTACCATGTCTACCGACCACACAAACAAATTAAACTTAACAGAGTTATGTTCTACCGCTTTCCACCCATTTCTCTGCCATGCACGTGCCTTAATTTGATTTTCCCCAATTTCGTTCACGGCGCTTTCCATATGCAACTTCACTGGGAAATGCACACGAGAGCACATAAACTAGGAACGCAGCTGGGACGTTGAATATGCAACGGTGCCACAGTTTAAGACCGCACAATAAATTGACCAGTCCCACTAGTACCTATCTCACTCCCAAACTCCAACGAAAAATTTTAAATGCGGGCATTTTGTTGGCCAAAATAAAAGGGAAATGAGCCATTTTAATGAAGCCACGCTGCTCTGGCTTTTGGTCGAACGTGTGCGGTCGCATAAACCCAAATATTGGGCCGCAATATCCCTACGACCCAATTTTCCGGGCGATCTCATTGATTGAAGGGGAATGGGACAGAAAATACAAAATAAAAATAAAAGCGCAGCCAATATGCAAAATAGCAAAGGGGCACACGTGAGTATGTGAGTGTGTCGTGATAAAAATAGAAAAAAAAAAAGCAAAAAGAATGGAAAATAAAAAAAATACGCAACCAAGCGGCACATGCGAAATGCAACAGCAACAACAGCAGCAACAACACGACGGCCATAAAACGAAAATAAAACTTACATAAATTTAGAAGTCTTGGCGGGCGCAGTCGTGGGTATGTTGTCGTTTGTCGCGCTGCTCCCAAAACGCACTTTATTTTTGGAAAAACGAAAAGCCAAAAGCAGTCGAAACGGCAACAACTAATGACGCAGCAACAGGCAAATCTGTTTCATATGACACGCCAAGTCGTGCACTAAACGATAGCGGCGAAAATTGCACTTTGCTGCTGGTCGCAGTGTTACCAACGGCCCTTGTGCAGCAAAATAGTGTGGCCAGTTGCGGCAGGGCTCAACTGCCCAACTGTACTGTATATGTATATCAAGTGAAATTATGAAGCGGCTTCGCAAAACGGTGCGAAAAGGGTTTTTTTAAGTTTTCGCCGTTTCTTTGTAAAGATCAAAGTTTGAGTCATTCAAATAAATGACCGCTAATTCGTTGGTCTTGGAATCGATAGGTGCATCAAAATGGGGCAAAACCAGAGTTGCAAAACGACTTAGGCCAATCCCGTTATGCGGCTGGAAAAGCAACTCCGGACAGCAGCTGCAAAATTTCTATTCGAATTGGAGCAGAGCGTATAAAAATAATATAAAGGAAAAAACAAGCCAACGAGAAAACAAACAGTCGGCTTCTTAAATTATGTGAAGCTGCAAAGAGAGCGAAGTGGGGAGCAAAAACAAACGAAAAAAAGAAAAACAAACAACAACAAGAGGTTTGAGAAGATACACTCTGGCAAAAAATAGAGAATTATTAAGCAAATAAAGTAACGCTCATCTTCATAGAAGTCCTTTCAAAATTTTACTTTAGGATGACGGAAAATATATTCCTAAGAGATTTTAACTTGAAAAACCAAAATAATATTCTCGGTGTACCCACAATAAGCGAGTGAAGTGGGAAGAGCAGATGAGGAACGGGAGTAGGGTGAGGGGAGGAGGATGAATAAGAGGAGCTGCATGCCTCTGGTGAGTCGTAAAATTGCGCAAAACGGGACTCGCTCCGCTCGTCCTTTTCGTCCTGGCCGCATTGTTTAGAGGGCGTGCGAGCGAGAGGGCGAGATGGACACAAGAAGCTGGCCAAATTAAATACAGCAATTTCGCAAAACGTATGGCACGCGCAAAGCAACAGCGAATAATAATATGAAGGAAGTGCGCAAAGGAGGCGGTGACCAGAATGGGCAGGATGGGCAGGACTGCCAAGTGGGACGACCTTGAATGTTTGGGGGAGTACGCATATTTTTCTGGGTCTCTTTTGTGTGCGTTTCTTTCGGCTTATTTTAGTTAGGTTTCCTTTTTTTTTTGGGGGCCAAACCAGCAAACATTTCCAAAGCTTCTGTTGCAATTTTTGGTTTCTTCGCGGAATGAAGGAAATAGTTGTATTGTTTCGGAAATTACAGTTCGGATAAAGAAATTCATTTAAGTACGAATTTCTCAAAAGAATTTGTCATGATTATTTGGCTGTTATGGTTATGGTTATACACATATAATGTATAATATTATTCCCAGTGTAGCGCCACATGCAAGATGTCGTCCCTTTAATTTATTTGGGAAAAGGGGCATCCCGGGGGCAGTGGCTAAACTGGACACAAAATCTTTATGAGCACTTTAGCTGGGCAACCGTAGTCCGAAGTCCGAGGTCCGAGGTCCGAAGTTCGTAGTCCATAGTCCGTAGTTCTCTGCCGGAATCCCCACCCGGTCATCAGGAGCATCATTCACATTTACGAGCCAGCGGAGGCTGTTGCTTCCATTCGGCATTCAGCACGCTTGGCATGAAAAATCGGAATGTGGGAGTCTTGGGGGCTGGAGGACATCCGCTGCTCCACCATCAACTATGTCCAAGTATATCCAACTGGCGGCAGGTTGGCCTCCAGCCAAGCCAGGCTTTTCTCCCTGTTGATTATTGGCAATGATCCGCTTTCGGACCCATAAAATGCCAGCAAATTGAATATTTTTTCGCAATTATGTGTCACAGAAGATGGATGCCAAAAAGGCGCAGTATTCGCAAATTATTTCAGGCAATTATCTTTACTTTTTTAAGTACTCAAAGTGGGATCGTGATGCTTAACGATACCCAACTAAGAAACGATATACTCGTATAAAACATGGTCGATTTAAATTCTCTAGAGATTTATGCTGCATATATACTACAGATTTACATTTAAGCCTTAGAAATGAACTCACCTTATTGCCTTCCCGTGTGCTGGCTGAGCTGGTAGTTATGTTTTGAATATGTATTGTGTTATTACTTGAATCGTAGATTGCTATTGATAATTATTTGCAATTAGAACTATTAATATCCGTAGTTGGCCTTGATAATGCAGATAGCGAAGGACAGAGGGCGAGAAGAGTGATAACGGCTGCGATTCGAGTCCCACTCACGATGCACAGTGTTGGCCAGCGATGCTGGTGGCCAGAACCATGGAACCCTCGACCGCAACACTCAGTACTCATTTATCCGACTTGATTCGGATGCTCTGCGCTTCTATTTAGTTTAGTTTCCCAACTCTTTAACGATCTTTGCAAGTGGGGATGTGGGGTTGAAAAAAAAAAAACAAAAAACAAATCAAGATTGATATACGTATCTGGCCAACTGCTCACACACAGATACAGATACAGATTCAGATACAGATTAGATGGGGATATAGACACACACACCGACACGCAGGCGGAAACGGAAGTGGTAGCACTCGCGGACACGAAACCGAAACCGAAAACGAAACCCAAACCGAAACCGAAAGAAACGTAACGTAACGAAACGATGCGATGCGATGCGAATACTCGATAATTTGCCGATTACTTGGGCGATTTGAATGGCTTTCTTTCAGGGCATTGTTCCTCGGATGAGATTGAGATGTGCCCGCTTCTGGCCGGGATCTCGCTAATTTGGCTTATTTGCCGCCGCTGCTGTTGCTGCTTCCTTGATGGCCCATCCACCATCGCCGCCGGCCACTTGGACATTTCCAGCTCATTTGGCGGGGTATTAGGGGTGTGATTCGTGTCGCTCCTGCCGCCTGCAATCGTGGTAAACGTGAATGGCAAAAGGAAACGGAAATTCTTTTATGGCTTTACAATAAATTTGCAACAAATTATGGTCGTTGTGGGTGTGTGTGTCAGTCCATGTGTGTGTGTGTGTGTGGGTGCATGCGAGTGTGCGTGGGTGATGGATGAAGTGTTTGCACAAACTGCCGATGGGATTGGGGTTGGCCAAATAAACCTAGTTTGCAGGCCTCCTCTTTTCTACTGGGTACAGTGCGTTTCAGGACTTTAGTGTGGGCTATCGATCGAGTGCAGATGCCCTAATGAGGTCGCTAACTTAATGCAGCAATCAAATGATAAATGGTATTAATCAGGTGCAAAATAGGTCATTACATTTCGCTAAACGTCCTCCGTATATTTGTTACTAAAAAGTATTGGGGATATATTTTAACTTAGCACCTTACATGTGCTAGAAACCTAAATCGTTTACTAAAATTCGGTTATACCGAACTAAATTATTTACAAATTTAATAGTCTAAGCAACTCACATGGCAAATTGAAACTCAGCTACCACAAGATTAAAGGAAACGGTTGGAATTTCAGCAATCTAGCAAAGTTTTTCGGTTTTGATAATATATGGCCCCTTGGCCCAATTTGAACCAACATTCGCGACCTGATTTATTTGGCTTAAAGCCTAACACGGCAAGTACCTGGCCGTAATATGACTTTATCTTTCATCCTTTCGCATATTGGCTTACCAACCACCGTTTCCAGAACCCCCTCATCTTTTCCCAGCCCGTCCACCTTCATTTTGTTGATGTTCTCCGCAAGGCTTTTTAAACTTGTCATATATTTTGATAAAGAATTCGCCTTGCTCCCTCGAGGCCCTCGAGATGCTGTCAGCACCAACCTACTACCTCATTTTTCCACCCCTTTTCCGATTTCCTCGCACCTGACTTTCCACCGCACCCCCCATTCTTTTTGGCCCCCTTTTTTAATGCCGCCTCCCATGGCTTTTTCGAAGCTTCAGTGCTGACGGGCGTGCAATATACTCGAATATATTTTTTTTTTTTTTTGCACTTTTAAAGGGGACGGGAAACGGGAAACGGGAACTTAGAGCACTCTTCCGTCTCTTGTGCTCCGGCTACAGCCCTCTCTTTCGCAGGGTCTTTAACCAAATTCGCATTCTTCGCAATTTAAGTGAATTCCTGTGCTTCGGCAGCCCGCAGGCCAAAAATGCTCCGCGACTTGACTTTGTCTTTTGTAATTTTATTTCATTTCATTTCAGTTCGTTTCGCTTCGCTAATGGCACTGAGTTGTCCTAATACAGAGCGAGAAATAAGTGGCTAAGTGGCTAAAGCTTCACACTCTTGGAATTCCGAGAGAGACCAGTTATTGTCTATGGAGTGATATCCTAAAAATGTATAATTACTCTGCTCCAGACTAGACCATTAAATGAAATTAATAAGCCCTGTGTATTCATACATTTAATTATTTACTAATATTAATATTAATACACTTAATGCTGTAACTGTGCATGAAGAAAATATTCAGGAATCTACCCAATTGGCGCACATTTAATAAATATGCCTTAGGATAAGTTCAATTAGCATCAGTTTACGAAGGATGCCAACAAAGGTGTTGCCAAATTTTTGCTGTGTATAGAGGGGGTGTTGAATCTCTAGGAGGACCTGGCGACTTGGGGGTACTGCAGCCGCCCACCCAAGCTGCAATGGTCCAAAGATTCGGGGGATGGTCTGAAAGTTTGAACTTTCCTTCACGGCTTCTTTTCGCCGTGCGAATTGGGCTAACTTGGCTTTTTTGCATCTTGTTGTCTTCATTTTTGTAGGGTTTCATTTAACATTTGCGTGGGCTGGGGTTACCAAGGAAAAACCAGGCCCACTTGACTGATGCTCGGCCAAACGCACACATGTGCAGGGGAAAATGTTCAAGGACATTTCCAATGGCAGTGCGCAAGAAGGGAATATATTCCTACTCAATGGATCGCCAGAAACATTGCACACACATGTGGGAACCATTAAAGAACAAAATTATACGAAAAATACCAGGCGTTGATATAAAATTATGTATTACACCCGACCTGCAATGTTATGAATATGAAAATCGCTTTTAACGATGCGTCGCGACGCGCAAAATATATACAAAAAAATAAAACGATGCAAAACAAAATACCACAAAAAAAAAAAAAAAAAAATCTGTGATTTTTCGACTTAGTATTTACGTCACAACAATTTGATGGTTCTTTAAATATTAATAAAAGCTGGGTGAATGGCAAACATTATGATCGGGGCACACAAACACCTACCTCAAAGTAGGCAAGTTGCTTGGCCGAAGGACTTTTTCGCTGATGTTGAAGTTAGAAAGGGTTTGTATTATTTTCAGATTTTGTTAGGTTTCGAATTGGTTCGCGTCGCGAGCACTGGAAAAAAATGTACCAAAAAAAAAAAGGAATAGAAGTATTCGTAGGAGGAGGCTGCGACGTTTTTAGCGGTAATTTCTCATTCCTTCAATTTCTCAATTTTATTATATTGGCGACGGTTTTGTACTGCGACGACCACGGTCTACTAACACGGCTTAAAAGGGCGGCTCAATGGTCGTTTGGTCTTCCGGCTGCTGCTGTTGCTGCTGCTGTTGCAAGTGTTGCTGTTGCCGTTGCTGCTGCCACAACTTTTGCTGCTGCTGCTGCTACTGCTGCTGCTGCTGCTGCTGCTGGTTGCGTGTCGCGTGTCGCGGCTCTGTACATCGCGCCGTATACCCAACGACTAGGCGCTGGAGACTTTAGTCTGCGGAACCCAGAATCGCAACGCCCGAATAATGCCAACCGATTCCGATTCCGATTCGGGTCCGAAAATCCGATGGCGCTTTTTTCCGAACCGAAGCCCAAAAACCAAAAACCGACTGCAGCCGCCAACGGCGACCGCGACGTCGCAGTCGGCGTCGGCGCTGGCGCTGGCGTAGGCGTCGAAGAGAGATGCTTTCACCTTGCGTTTTCCTTTCGCGCCGAATGAATTCGATTCGATGTCGAAAAAGCTCACTGGCGCAGCTTTGAAGGTCAGGCGGCAGGCAGGCGCAACAATCGCCGCCCTCCATTCATCGCCACACTTTTTATTCGCCCCTTTTTTTTGCCGGCCGCGCGGCATGGAAAGTGGCATGCGGCATGTGGCATCATCTGCAGAAGCCGTGGACTCGCGGGTGGAAAGTGGGCCAGGCCAGTTTGGAGCGACGCAACCACCGCAGCGGAATGCAGCAGATTTTCGAGTTTCCACTTTTCTATGTGTCCGAAGCTCTTCCAGAAAGCTCACCCACATTTTCAGCCGCCAAAAGGATAATGGTCAAAGTAAATCATAGGGACTCAAAGTGGAAATGTGGCTTAATGGTAAAAACTAGACCTTTTAAGTATTCAAATTAGGCAAACTGACAACATATTTCACTACAATTTTGTACTTTTAATGGCAATACTGTTAAATTCAAAAATATAACTGTTATCCAATAGCTCTTTCTTAAAACTGTGCTTTATATTTTGGTTTCATTTAATTTTAATGTTTTATGTGAGCAGAAAAAAATGTATCGATTCATTATTATTGTCAAATCAAAAGAAAATAGTTACAAAATACTTTAAATGTTTTAGAAGAATAATTTTTGAACAGGTTTTACAAATTTCTTCAATTACAATAATTACAAGACATTTAAGTTTAAACAATGTAACGTCAACTGGAATGGTTCCTTTACATTTGCTAAAGCTTCCTTGAAAGCTTACAACCTACAACTTGGACTAAAGCTTTCGGGTGAAAGTCCTTGAAAGGATGAATTTGAAATATGAGAAGCCTAGCTTCTTAATTTTAATAAAAATTTTAATACAAAACTCATGAGGGGCTTAAATACCAAAAGAAAAATATAAAAAAAAGAAAAACCTAATGATCCTTAAAGCGAATTAAGTAAACATAAATATTACAGGGTATGTGCAGTTCTGCTAGCAAACAAACTTCCACCCCTTTTCCGGATGTCTGACAACAGTAGACATGGCGACGGAAAAACAATCCGGGGCAACCAACAGCTGTCAGTCGGTGTGAAGCCGATCGAAACCTATCCACATACAGCCGGATTCTCTCTAGCCCGATATCCGGAATGTCCCGCCAGCTGTTTCCCAAGGGCAAGGATAGAGGCACAACCAAGATCAAGATGAAGGGCAAGGAGAAGAAGAAGGAGAAGGAGAAGGAGGAGGACGAGGATGGCTCGCGGAGGGGTCGGGTGCGGAGAAGGAGTAGGCGCCAGTCCGCAGGAGACGACGATCCATCCGAGGGTTTGGTTGACAAGCGCCTAACTGGCGAAGAGCGGCCGAGCAGCATATCCGGGGAACGACTTGGTAGCGATTTCACCGCCCTCACGGATCGCGCCAGCGATGCCAACGATGGCAGCAGCATGGGTCCGGGGGATGACAATGGGAGAAGGGCACACCCTGGCAGTAGCGAGAAGCATAAGAGGTCCTCCAAGTTCCGGCTGAACTTCTCCGTTATGAAATCGGGCAGCATAGGTGGCGGGACCAAGTCGCGCACTGCCAGCACCACAAAGATCACCACTGGGGCATCGCTCATTCCGGATCTGAATCTGATCATCAACCGGATGCGCAACATGCCGGATGACTCGTTCGTCTACATGGACTACATGCTGCCCCACGACAGCGAGTACTTCACGCCGTACAGCCTGCGGGAGGTGGAGTACAAGGATCTGAACACCTACGAACCCTTCTACACCGTCACCCGCCACGGCGTCACCTTCTGGCACTGCTCCGAGAACTTCTTCACCCCGCTGGACCAGTGGCAGCAGGAGTTCAAGCAGTTCCTCAGCATCATCCAGATACGATCCTTCTCCATCTTCCGGCTGTGGAAGGGATTCAAGGTGAGCTTGTGCAGTGTTACTTACTGATATTTGAAATCGTTTCCGGTGTTCTCCTCTAGGTATGGGAAAAGACGATCAAGTGGCGGAAGCTGAACGAGGCACGGGATTTTCTGCAGAACAATCTCTTCATCGTGATCCCCCAGCTGGCCAAAGCGATTCTGCGCATGCGCAGCGATATTGTGCAACTGCAGCGATTGAACTTCGTCAATGTGTCCAACATCGAGAACTGGCATCCGTTCTACTTTCTGGAGATGCACATGCGCATCTATGAGCAGCTGCACAAGACCTTCACCGACTTCCGGGAGTTTATTGCCAAGACGATATGTGAGTTCTACTGTTACTGCTGATACTTTTTACTATTTACATTAATTAATGCGCGAAAATAGTTCGAGCCTGCACGGATGCCATCCAGGCACGTGGCTTCTATCCGGATGACGAGGTCAACTACTATCCATCGCTGAAAAAGATGCGTGAGGCGCACAGCTTTATGGACCGAGCACGGAAGAGGGCCTTCTGCAAAACCCTGACCAAGTGGGAAAACACAGCTAACCTTTCTAGAATTCAGCCTAATCCTAATGCCTCCGCCAAATAGTTTTCTCACCTACTGCGACATGATGGTGTACCAAATGCTGTACCGCATCACGATCAAAAGCTTTGACGATTTGGCCACGTCCTTCGAGGTGCACGACGAAGTTGGTCCCTCGGAGGCGGATATCAATAAACATGATCGGGTGGACAAGCGGATCGAGAAGCAGCGACCACCGGACAAGCCGCAAAGTCCATTCTTCTTGGCCATGTTGCGTCTACTGCCCGATCGCATTGATGTCGAGCCCTCGGAGGATATTATCAGGATTATATTTCAGCGCATCACAGGACTCATTCTGGAGACGGTCCTTGAAATCCACCCGTTCACCACAGATCCCTTCTTTACGCAGTACACTCAGTGAGTTGCATAAATTGTGCATCTAAATTCGTCTTGTTAACTGATTTAAATAACCTTAGACCCTCGATCATGGGACGCCAGGAGGAGGTGCTATACGAAGGTGCTCCCGACTTGCACTACCTACTGCGCGCCGATCAGGGATTTCAGTTTAACCGGTAGGGAATCATTTGTACAACAGTGATGAGCCCCAATAATGAGCCCTTTTCCGCACTAGCAAAAATATGTTCATTCTGATCCGAAAAGCTTATGACAGGGCGCGACTTTATACGCAGAGGTTCCAGCAAATCCGCGAAAACTTTGAGATCGACAATAGCACAGATCCCACGGTTCTCAATACGGAAAAAGGTATGCATATAGAGATATGATTTTTGAGATACCTCATAAAAACCATGTAATTGCAGATCTTCAGATATTGCGAGCATACTGCGATAGATACTGCAACAATGTGCGGGCCTTGGATGGCATCTTGGAGTATGTATTCCTGGGCTTACTGAAGCTCACCCAGACGAACTTCAAGGATACGGTGACGCCGGTTTGTTCCCGACTCCAGAACGTTTTGGCCACATACCTGCCCAAGCTGGCCGAGGAGGAGACCACACGGCTGTACGAAGAGGCACAGGATTTCCATGGCCGGATCTGCTACGAACCACACGAGACTCTGGAGATTGTGGCGCACATTCGATTTCTAGACAAGTGCTCCACCGAACTGGACGAGATATTCAATGGCATCGATTATGTGCACGACCTGTTGCTCATTATCAAGGACTTTAACATACCGATCGATGACGATTCCAAGGAGGATTACATGGACACCGAAGACTATTTGAATAGGACGCGGGAGACGCTGGAGGAGATCAGGGAGAAACGGCAGGATTTCATCAATCGGCTCGAGGATGCCATGCAGGATGACATAGCGGCACTCAAGGAGGAGATCCATGAGGTGGCCATCGAAGCAGTGCAGCCCTGGCTCCTGGATGTGAGTTATTCGAAACAAATTTGCATATTAATATAAGTATATTTAACTTGATTTCCCATAGGCCAATTCCAACCGTTTATCGGTCACAAACAAGTTAGATGCCATGCTGGAACACCTGAACAAATGTCGCGAGACAGCCGACGAGTTCCTGGGCTATCAGAAGGAGTTCCAGATTGACTTGACCATGTACGACGAGATGGCCAGCGGTTTCTATGACATACGCATGCGCCAGAATCTCTATCGCACATGGACCGACTGGGAGGAATCGCTCGCCGAGTGGATTGTCGCGGATTTCAACACTCTCAATGTGGTGGACATGGTTGATCTGAATGCCAAGACGATCAAGAATTGCTTGCAGTTCCAGAAGTATCTGCCAGAAAACAACATAGTCCCTGTGCTGCACAAATCCGCGGAGGCATTCAAGGACAAACTTCCGGTGATCGGTTACCTGCGTAATCCCAATTTGAGAGCCGTATGTTGCACACTCAGATCGATAGTAACATATATAACATGCATAAATCTCTATTCCTAGCGGCATTGGGCGGAGATCGAGGATCTGCTGAACCGCAAGTTCTTCCAAGAGAAGGACATCCTAATCCAGACATACGAGGAGGTGCACGCATTCGACGATGTGGCCATCGGCGAGGCGCTGATGCAAATATCCTCGCAGGCCACCGGCGAGGTGCAGCTGGAGAATATGCTGAAGAGCATCGAAACCACGTGGAAGGAGACGGAACTGGCCATTGTCCCGCACCATGACGCCAAGGACATCTTCATACTGGCCGGCACGGAGGAGTTACAGGCCGTCCTCGATGATTCGAATGTGAATATCAACACGATAGCAGCATCCAAGTTTGTGGGCCCCATCAAGGGCAAGGTGGACGAGTGGATCAATGCCATGGACCAGTTTGCCAAGACCTTCGGTGAGCTATATACATTGATTATGCTTTAGTTCCCTAATCAACGAATGCGAAATCAGAAAGCTGGATGGATTGCCAGGGAGCTTGGATCTACCTGGAGGCCATCTTCGCCTCGGCGGATATCCAGCGACAGCTGCCCCACGAGGCCAAGATGTTCTTCACGGTCGACAAGAGCTTCAAGGAGACGGTCCGCCAGGCGAAGAAGGTGGCGCTGGCACTGCCCACCATGTCCAGCGTGGACGTGCACAAGGTGCTGGTGGAGAACAACCGATTGCTGGATCTCATATCGCGCGGATTGGAGGCGTATCTGGAGGTGAAACGGGTGGTCTTCCCCAGGTAACTAGACATCATTAAAGAAAAAATACTTACGTATATATATATATGTATTAATCCCCTGTAGATTCTACTTTCTGTCCAACGACGAGCTGCTGGAGATCCTGGCACAAACCCGAATTCCTCAAGCAGTGCAGCCGCATCTGCGCAAGTGTTTCGATGCCATCTACCGATTGGAATTCGGATCGAAGGAGGGCGGCGACGGCAAGATGGTGGCCACCAATGACATCGTTGCCTTCCTGTCACCCGAGGGCGAGAAGCTCCAGTTTGGCAAGGGACTGAAGGCCCGCGGAGCCGTGGAGGAGTGGCTCAGCAAGGTGGAGGAGGCCATGTTTGTGGCCTGCAAGCGGTACATGCGATTCGGTTACCAGTGCTATCCGGCCAAGGAGCGCGAGGACTGGTTCCAGGATCATCCCAACCAGGTGGTGCTCACCGTCTCTCAAGTGCAATGGGCCGCCGACATTCATCGCATCTACGAGGGCAAGGAGCGCAATCCCCTGAACATTCTCGAGAAGATGTCCAAGTTTGAGATCAAGTGCCTGAAGGATCTGGGCGCCCTTGCTGCGCTGACAAGGAAGAACATTAGCTCACTGCTGCGCAAGATTCTGTGCGCCCTGATCACCATCGATGTGCACGCCAAGGATTCGGTGCGCATGCTCATCGAAAAGGAGGTCTGCAAAGCGTAAGTGCCAAGTCTGGGTAATGTTGAGCCAAGATTCTAAGATTCAGCCCAACAGATCCGACTTCAACTGGCTGAAGATGCTGCGTTTCTACTGGGCCGATGAGACGGAAACGGTCTACTCCCGCATGGCCGCCGCCAATATTCCGTACTACTATGAGTACCTGGGTGCCGGCGGTGTCCTGGTGCTCACCCCGCTGACGGATCGCTGCTACCTTTGCCTGATGGGTGCCTTCCAGATGGATCTGGGCGGAGCTCCGGCCGGACCAGCCGGCACGGGCAAGACCGAGACCACCAAGGATCTGGCCAAGGCGTTGGCCAAGCAGTGCGTCGTCTTCAATTGCTCAGATGGCCTAGACTACAAGATGATGGGGCGTTTCTTCTCGGGATTGGCCCAATGCGGTGCCTGGTGCTGCTTCGACGAGTTCAACCGCATTGACATCGAAGTGCTGTCCGTGATTGCCCAGCAGTTGATCACCATCCGGACGGCCAAGGCCATGCGGGTGAAGCGGTAACACATTACACATTCCAAGAAGCTAATCCCCATTGACAAAGTAATTATCATCGACAGCTTCATCTTCGAGGGCCGAGAGATCAAGATCAATCGTTCCTGCTGCGTGTTCATTACCATGAATCCCGGCTACGCCGGCCGTACTGAGCTGCCTGATAATCTGAAGGCCCTGTTCCGGCCCATCTCGATGATGGTGCCCGACTACGCACTCATTTCGGAGGTGATTCTGTACTCGGAGGGCTTCGAGGATCCCAAGATCCTGGCCCGCAAGATGGTGCAGATGTACCAGCTGTGTAGCCAGCAGCTCAGCCAGCAGAATCACTACGACTTCGGTATGCGAGCCGTGAAGTCCGTCCTGGTGATGGCTGGAGCACTCAAGAGAGCCTCGCCCAATCAACGGGAGGATATCACCCTGATTGCGGCTTTGAGGGACTCCAATATACCCAAGTTCCTGGCTGACGATGCGATCCTGTTTCGTGGCATCCTTAGCGATCTGTTTCCGGGCGTGGAGCTGCCGGACTCACAGCATCCGCATCTGGAGGCCAGTTTGCGACTGGGCCTGCGGCAGAAGAATCTCCAGGCGGTGCCCACCACCATCCGAAAGTGTTTGCAATTGTACGAGACGATGTGCGTCCGCTGGGGCGTCATGTTGGTGGGTCCCACCGGTGGCGGTAAGTCCGTGGTGCTGCATGCCCTGGAGTTCGCTCTCTCACATCTCTTCGAGAACGAGGTGCAGGACCCAAACTTTCGGCCTGTGGTCATCCAGACAATGAATCCCAAAGCGGTGACCATGAACGAGTTGTACGGCTTTGTGGATCTTAAGACGCTGGAGTGGCAGGATGGCTTACTGGGCCTGGCGGTGCGAACTGCCACGACGGTCGAAGGTAATGATTCCCTCCAGAGATTCCCTTAGACTCCAAACGATCTTGCTAAACTTCCGATTCAGATGAGATTCACCAATGGATCATGTGCGATGGCCCGGTTGATGCGGTATGGATAGAGAACTTGAACACGGTGCTGGATGATAACAAGATGCTGTGTCTGGCCAACTCGGAGCGCATCAAGCTGACCGCTTGGATCCATATGCTCTTCGAGGTGCAGGATCTTCTACAGGCTTCGCCTGCCACCGTTTCCCGCTGCGGCATGGTCTATGTGGATCCAGGCGATCTTGGCTGGATACCACTGATCGACACCTGGCGGGAGGTGGACATGAAGTACAAGCTGCCCGCTCCACTGGCCGAGTTCTGCTACCAGCTCTTTGTGGGCTACTTCGACAAGGCGCTGAAGATCGAACGGAAGCGTGCGGTGTACACCATCCACCAGGTGCTCGGCTCCAAGGTACGACTGTGCTGCGAGCTGACCTCTTCCCAGTTGGAAGCGGTCAAATGGTCAGCACTGGGTGAGGAGCGGGGCAAGGAACTGGTGACCAAGATCTTCGCCTGGGCGGTGCTCTGGGCCATTGCCTCTAATCTCAAGGATGCCGAGAAGATGTCCTTCGAGGAGCAGTGGAGCAAGGCGATTGCCCAACATCCAAATATGATGTGAGAATGTTGGCTTTAATTATTACCAAGTTATACATTCCCAATCTCCGCATAGCCTTCCCAACTTCACCTTGTGGAACTATCGCATCGACCTGGAGAAAATGGACTGGGGCAGCTGGATGGATATCATGGCCAAGTTTATCTTCGATCCGGAAACTTCTTACTACGACATGCAGGTGCCAACGGTGGATACAACCAAATATGGGTAAGCCACCTATTGTCACCAAATACATGATTGCAAAAGAGTAATCCCCTCCCAAATCCCCTCCAGCTATGTGTCCGATCTGCTGTTCAAACGGGGCATGCCCGTAATGGTGACTGGAGACACGGGCGTGGGCAAAACTGTCCTGGCCATCAGCTGCATGAAACGCCTGTCGCAGGGCAATGTCATCCCAGTGATCCTCAACTTCTCCGCCCAGACGAGTAGCATGCGCACCCAGGAGATGATCGAGGGGCCGCTGGAGAAGCGCAAGAAGACCCAGCTGGGTGCACCGGTGGGCAAAACCGTAATCGTTTTCATTGACGACGTGAATATGCCCAAGCTGGATACCTACGGAGCCTCGCCGGCCATTGAGTTGTTGCGCCAATTCCTCGACTTTAAGGGATTCTACGATCGGGAGAAGCTCTACTGGAAGGAGATCCTGGACGTGGTTCTGGGCTGTGCCTGTGCTCCGCCTGGAGGAGGTCGAAATCCGCTCACTCCGCGCTTTGTTCGCCACTTTGCCTTGTTCTCTTTGCCGAAACCGAACGAGGAGACCCTAACCCAGATCTTCAATGGCATCCTGCGGGGCTTCCTGCAAACGTTCTCCTCCGCAGTGAGAGCTCTCTCGGAGCCCATGGTGAATGCCTGCGTGGATGTCTATATGCGGGTGGCCACCGTAATGTTACCCACACCGGATAAATCGCACTATATCTTCAATCTGCGCGATCTATCCAAGTGCATACAGGGTATCCTGCAGGCGAGCAATCTGCACTACAACCAGGAGAACCAGATACTCCGCCTGTTCTACCACGAGACCACTCGTGTATTTCACGACAGGTTGATTAACTTGGAGGATAAGAGCATTTTCAAGACCCTGATGAAGGAGGTATGCTTGGACCACTTTAATCGGCCGGTGATCAATGAAAATGAGCCACCGATCCTCTTCGGGGACTTTATGGTCTTTGGCAAGCCGAAGAACGAGCGCATCTACGATGAGATCAAGGATCATGCAAAGCTGGAGAGCGTTCTCAACGATTACATCTCGGACTACAACTCGGTGGCGGTGGGCAAGCAGATGAAGCTAATTCTCTTCCAGGACGCCATGGAGCACACGGTCCGCCTGGCGCGACTTTTGCGCAGCGATCGCGGCAATGGACTGCTTGTGGGCGTGGCCGGAATGGGAAAGCAATCGCTCACCCGGTTGGCATCCCATGTCAACGAGTACAACTGCTGGCAGATCGAGATGCGACGCAACTACGACCTAAATGCTTTCCACGAGGATCTGAGGGTCCTCTACCGCATCGCCGGAGTGAGTGCCTCAGTTGCATTATCCAAGTTTCATTGGCAACATTTTCCATTTTAATCTGCCAACAGATTGAAAACCAACCGGTGACCTTCCTATTGATAGACAGTCAGATCGTGGAGGAGGAGTTCCTTGAGGATATCAACAACATCCTCAATTCCGGCGAGGTGCCCAATCTATTCGAAGGCGATGAGTTCGAGAAGATCATCTTGGACGCTCGGGAAGGATGCAATGAGACCAGAAAAGATGATGTGGGTATACCAACACGGCTTATATACTCACATATCCTGGATAAACCCCACCTTTTATCTGGTTTGTCTGGTTTAGCCCTGCACTCGCGATGACATCTACAAGTTCTTCATCAACCGGGTGAGGAACAATCTGCATGTGGTGATGTCGATGAGTCCAGTGGGCGATGCCTTTCGGCGCAGATGCCGCATGTTTCCCTCGCTAGTCAACTGCACCACGATCGACTGGTTCACCAGCTGGCCAACGGAGGCCCTGTACTCGGTGGCCCTCGGATTGCTCACAAAGATCGCACCCAAGATGGAGGATCGCGTCTCGCTGGCCAGCACCACCGTCTTTATGCATAAGGTGAGTGATGTTTCTTCGAGGGAATGCTCAGCTACAAACGTAATCCCTTCCAGACTGTCGAGGATGCCTCAGTGAAGTTCTACAAGGAGATGAAGAGGCACTACTATACCACACCCAGCAGCTATCTGGAGTTGTTGAAGCTCTACCAGAATCTGCTGAAGATCAAAAACATGGAGATTATAGCCAAGCGAAAGCGAATCGCCAATGGCCTCAACAAGCTACTGGAGACCAATGAAGTGGTAAGTAACTAATCGCCTTTATCCATAGAGGGTAGATCCCTAATCCTTTTCCTTTCGTTAGATCGCTGTGATGGGAAAAGAGCTGGAGGTGATGGTGCCCCAGCTGGATGAGAAATCCGCCATGATGAAGTCCCTGGTGGACAATTTGACCAAGGAGACCAAGCAGGCGGATGCCGTGAAGCAAAGCGTGCTAGAGGACGAGATGAATGCCAAGGAGAAGGCAGCGGTGGCCCAGGCGATATCCGAGGATGCCGGCAAAGACCTGGAGATTGCCATGCCCGCGCTGCGCGAGGCGGAGGAAGCACTAAAGGGTCTGACCAAGGCGGACATCAATGAACTGAAGTCCTTCACCACGCCGCCGGCTCTGGTGCAGTTCTGCATGGAGGCCGTGTGCATTCTGCTGGGCGTCAAGTGAGTGGGTTGTCCATTTCCAATTCCTTTATCCGCTTATTTTGCCCTTTGCAGACCCACCTGGGCATCCGCCAAGGCCATCATGGCGGACATAAACTTCATCAAGCGGCTGTTTGAGTACGACAAGGAGCACATGAAGGAGGACACCCTGAAGAAGGTCAAGAAGTACATCGACCACAAGGACTTCGTCCCGGCTGTACGTTTACTTACATAGCTTGCAGAATACCTTGGGTAACTATCTCGCTATTCACAGAAATTCGAAAAGGTCTCCAAAGTGGCCAAGTCGATGAGCATGTGGGTAATATCCATGGACAAGTTCTCCAAGGTGTACAAGGTGGTGGAGCCGAAGATCAAGCGAAAGGAGGCTGCCGAAGCGGAGCTCAAGGAGGTGATGACCGTGCTGAGGCAGAAGCAAAAGGAGCTGGCTGCCGTGGAGGCCAAGATCCAGGGACTTCGCGATAGTCTCGAGGAGAAGCAGCGCGAGTTCCAAGTCATCCAGGACAACGTGGACTTGACCTACGGCAGGATCAATCGGGCGGGTCGCTTGACCTCCGCCCTTTCCGACGAGCAGGTGCGCTGGCGTGAGACGGTCAAGTCCTTAACCGGAGATCTGGCCTGTGTGCCCGGCGATGTCCTTGTGGCCGCCGCCTGTGTTGCCTATTTGGGGGCCTTCTCGCACGAATATCGGCGGGACATGAGTGCTCTGTGGGTGACCAAGTGCCGTGAGTACAAGATTCCCTCCAGTCCCGAGTTCAACTTGCTCAAGGTGCTGGGCGATCCGTACGAGATGCGACAGTGGAATGTGGACGGCCTACCGAAGGACAACATATCCATCGAGAATGGCATATATGCCACCAGGGCTCTGCGCTGGGCCCTGATGATCGATCCTCAGGAGCAGGCCAATCGCTGGATCCGTAATATGGAGCGGGCCAATAATCTGCAGGTTATCAAGATGACCGACTCGACCATGATGCGGGTGCTGGAGAACGCTGTGCGCCAGGGGTATCCGGTGCTGCTCGAGGAGATCAACGAGACCATCGATCCCAGCTTGCGGCCCATCCTTCAGCGAGAAACCTACCGATTCGAGGGTCGTACCTATTTGAAACTGGGCGACATGGTGATTGACTATGACGACAATTTCAAGCTGTACATGACCACAAAGCTGCCCAATCCTCACTACCTGCCCGAGGTGTGCATCAACGTGACCCTGGTCAACTTTCTGGTCACGGAGAGCGGCCTGGAGGATCAACTGTTGGCGTGAGTAATAGTATTGAAAGCATTTGAGCTCCTACAACTCCAATCGTTACCCAAGGGACATTGTGGCCATCGAGCTGCCCGCCATGGAGATCCAGCGTAACGATCTGGTGGTCAAGATCAACTCGGACAAACAGCAATTGCTGGCGCTGGAGGACAAAGTGTTGAAGTTGCTATTCAACTCCGAGGGCAACATTCTCGACGACGAAGAGCTGGTGGAGACACTGAACGATGCCAAGGTGGGTTCCTCCTCTCGATTGAAATGTTGTATCCATCATACTCCATTATAGGAAACGTCGCTGATCATTGCCGCTCGACTGATTGACACTGAGGAGACGGAGAAGGTCATCACCGCTTCCAGGGAGCGCTATCGCATCCTGGCCTCACGTGGAGCCATCCTCTACTTTGTGGTCGCAGGCCTGGCCGAGATCGATCCCATGTACCAGTACAGTCTGAAGTACTTCACCCAGGTATTTTGCAATGTCCTGCGACTGGACCATCCCCCTCAGGCGGTGGAGGTGCGCATTTCCACTCTGATGACGGACGAGCTGAAGGCCATTTTCGATAACATATCCCGCGGCTTGTTCGAGAACCACAAGATCATCTTTAGCTTCCTGCTGGCGTTGTCGGTGGAACGGCAAGAGGGTCGGGTTAGCGAGGAGGAGTTCCTTTTCCTTTCTCGCGGCCCTGTGGGTAACATTCGGCCAAAGACTCAGCCGGCGAACATCAAGATGAGCCAAATCGAATGGGATTCATGCATCTTTTTGGAGGACAACTTCCGTAACTTCTTCAGCGGATTTACCGACGAGCTGGACAAGCCCTTCTTCATCGAAATGCAGGAGAACAAGGAGGTCTTTGACTTCGCCCAGACGAATCAGCCGCCAACGGACAAGTGGAACAAACGACTGAGGGTCTTCCACAAGCTGATGTTTATCTCCGCCTTCCGAAAACCGAGATTCCTGCTCAACGTGGTCTGCTACCTTCAGTCCACCGTGGGCAAGTACTTTACCGAGGCATCAGGAGGCACCCAGCTGAGCTCTGTGTAAGATCTGCCCTACTCCAATCTCTAGAAAGCTTTGTTATTCTTGCATACCCTGTCTTAGCTATTTGGACACCTCGGCTGTAACGCCATTGATCTTTGTGCTGTCCACCGGATCGGATCCAATGTCTGGCTTCCTCAAGTTCACCACCCAAATGCAGTTCACCGACAAGTACTACTCCATTTCGCTGGGCCAGGGCCAGGGACCACTGGCGGAGAACCTGATCGAGAAGAGCTTGCGTATGGGCCACTGGGTGTTCCTGCAGAATTGCCATCTGGCCACCTCATTTATGCAGACGCTGGAGACGATTGTGCGAAACCTGACACTGGGCATCACCAAGACGCATGCCGATTTCCGACTCTATCTCTCCTCCATGCCCATCCGAACGTTCCCGATTAGTGTACTCCAGAATTCGGTGAAGATCACCAACGAACCGCCGAAGGGTATCAAGGCAAATGTGTTTGGGGCACTGACGGATCTAAAGGCGGACTTCTTTGAGCACCACATCCAGAATGGCAATTGGCGGGCAATTGTCTTTGGGCTGTGCATGTTCCATGCGGTTTTACTAGAGCGCAGGAAATTCGGACCGCTGGGATGGAACATCACCTACGAGTTCAGCGAGAGCGATCGGGAATGCGGCCTAAAGACCCTCGATTTCTTCATCGATCGGGAGGTTCTGGATGAGATACCCTGGGAAGCCATACTCTACATCAACGGGGACATCACGTGGGGCGGCCGAGTGACGGACTACTGGGATCTGCGGTGTCTGCGCACCATTCTGACCATCTTTTCATCGAAGAGGATCATCCAGCCGGACTACAAGTACTGTCGCGGTGATAGCTACTATCGGGATCCGCGCAAGAAAACGCTTGGCGAATACTCAACCTATGTGCAGGGCTTTCCGGTCCTCGAGGATCCTGAGATCTTTGGCATGAACCAGAACGCCAACATCGTGTTCCAGACCAAGGAGACGTCCTTCTTTATCAACACCCTGCTCCTGGGCCAGCCGAGATCCGCCGCCGACGAGGGCCAGGCTATGGAAAACGAGATCGCCCAGCAGACAATCGCACGCATCCAGAAGGCGCTGGCCACCAAGATTAAGAGGGAACCCATCCACGACACGCTCTCTGTGGTAAGTTATATGGTGCCTTACGAAATGGTGGTCCAGTCTTGATCTCCCTCCTTTTCCCAGCTGGACGCCAAGGGTCAAGTGCCATCGCTGACCATTGTGCTGGTCCAGGAGATCGATCGGTTTAACATCGCACTGGGCATCATTCACGACAGCTTGGTCAATTTGTCCAAGGCCATTAAGGGCCTGGTGGTGATGTCGGAGGAGCTGGAGAACGTGTTCAAGGCGCTGCTGTCCAACCAGGTGCCCGCGTCCTGGGCCAAACGGAGCTTCCTCTCGATCAAGCCCCTGCCCAGCTATATATCCGACTTCCAGCGGCGCATCGACTTCATTCAACAGTGGGCGGAGAACGGAGCACCTCGCTCCTATTGGATAAGTGGTTTCTTCTTTCCGCAATCCTTCCTCACCGGCGTCCTGCAGACATACGCCCGTCGCCGTGTCCTGCCCATTGATTCGCTGAAGATCGACTTCGATGTGTTCGAAAAGGAACTGGTGCAGCAGGACTTCTTTGAGATGCACATCAACAACATGAATGTAAGTATCTACAGCACAGATTAGATTTGTATTTCCCACACGAATTCACCCCACCCCACAGGACCAAAAGCTATATGGCAACCTGGCGGAGTGCACCGATGCCGTCATCAATGTGCATGGGATCTTCATCGAAGCAGCTCGCTGGGATTTGAGCAAAGGCGGCCTATGCGATGCCAACTTTGGGGAGCTCTTCTGTCGGATGCCGGTGGTGAGGTTCAAGCCGTGTCTGGAGATTTCCTCGACGGTGCGCTATGAGGCGCCGCTCTACAAGACCCAGCAGAGATCCGGTGTCCTCTCCACCACGGGCCATTCGACCAACTTCATACTGGCCGTCCTTTTGCGGAGCAAAAACGATCCGGAGTTTTGGATAATGCGGGGTACAGCTCTGGTGTCCGCTGTATTGGAAAATATTTGCTAGGTCTAGATACAATTGGCAGTTATTGTTTTTTATGCTGCTTACTTAAAGTCGTCTTTATTTCGTTTCATGTTCATTTTCCGGTACTTTCTGCTAAGGTGTACAATACATATTTGTTATGTGTGTGTGTGTGTGTTCGGGGACATTAATTAATTATATTGATTAGGGTCGTAATTTGTGGATTAGAATGCAATTAGAGTGGTGTTTTGAAAATCCCTACAGAAGGCTCTGTAATATTTACATGCCTGCCTTAGAAATCTTTCATCGCATAAATAGTTCCGATTTCGTATCAAAAGCGCTTTTACACATAAGAATAATTTATTTTACAAGGCAAACAAGAGCTCAAAATGCGAGCTGCTACTTATGGCAAAAATTGACAAAGTCTTCATTAATATCTGACGAGTTGTTCTTAAGCCTACGTGTATATAGTTATGTAGACGTCTGTGCTATTCGTATATACAACATTGCACTTTTGAAGTATGTTGATCAAATCTACTTTGGAGTTCTAGTCCTTGCACACGCACACACACACACACAAAGATACACACACACACAGCGAGAAGAACACACACAGACACTACCATACGTATACTATGTACAATTCCTTTCCGGCTCAGCTTTAGTTTAGGCTAATGTTTCAGTTTAAGTTTCGGTTTGGTCACAGTCTATGTCGTATATCAATCAACAGGTGGACAAGCAGATAATGGATAAGGCAGACCTAACAAATAGACTAACGATAAACATACACAGATTGGATTGATAAAGGAATGTGGTGGCTGCAGTTTCATTTTGTTCGCCTTTTCTAAGTACTAATACTGCCGTTCTCTACTCCAATTTTTGTGGAAGGTATGGATTTCGAATTTGGAAACTTGAAAGTGTCGCTTAGGGGCTAAAGGTTAAGGGTTACGGGTTACGGGTAAAGGTATAGGTTTGGTCTTTTCGTTAGTTCACCGCATACATGGAATGCTAAATTAGTTAGAAATCTTATGCACTAATTATTGCTGGACATTGTCTCTTTCTCAATTTTAAGTACTTAGTCACTAAATATACAAATTAGCTAAACAACGAAAAAAAAAAAAGTTACGAAAAAAAAGTGTGTAAATTGAATTATGGATACATTTTCGTATAAGACGTTCCGCAAAATCGTTCATTAGGAAGCACAATTCGGTGGGCGGCGATCGTCGCCTACAATTTCTTACTGTCCATATCGATCCTGAGATCGGGCAGCGATCCGCGCGTCTGCAGCAGGCTCCGCTTTTCTGGATCCTTGACCTTCTTGGGCTTAGGTCGGTTCGTCTTCGTGTAGCGATTGATCACACCATCAGACTCGTCCATCATGCGCAGGATGAGCGCCTGGTCGGAGGAGTCCAGCGGCGCTATCGAGATGTCTCGAACGGCTCGGAACTTACCGCAGTTGTTCAGATGCTCGTTCTCTAATCGGAAGAAGTTCCACACAAAGCGCCTAAAAAGCAACACTTTTAGTAAAATACTTGCACAGATTTAGACTTAGGAATGAGCACTTACCGGAATACCTCCAGGATGCCTGTGATGGAGGTCATTATGTCTGAGCTTACGATTTTCATCTCAGTGAGGTAGAAAGACAGCGCCCAAATAAACCGTAGCGCCAGATCTTCCACAATGGCAAAGTAGTAAAAGCCCTGAAATTTAAGAATTCTCATTTATATATGTTTCTAAAGTATTTACTAGTACTTATTTAACTTACCGTCGATGAGTAGACAACCTCCTCACGTAGGAAAGTATTCTCGCCAGCATTCTTGTCGAACAGACCCCAATCCATTTTGATATCCCACGTGTAGGCGTAGCAAGAGGACACAATCGAGGCGATAATCCACAACCAGGTATAGGGATTATCAAATGTGCTGTCATAGTTCGCTAAGGAAACAAGCCTGTTAAACAATATATATACTTCAAAAGCAGTTGTGAAACTTACGACTGTGAAAGCTCTTGAGGGTGGCGAAAATCACCACCAGGAAGGTGGTGGAGTATTTGCCAGCATTCACCAAATGAGGAAAAGCCTCCCGCGAGTCCCGATATCGTCGCAGGCATTGTGCAAATCGGAACCAGGCGGGCAGGCAATTGACAATCGGCCGGATGATAAAGTCCTTCTCCATGCAAATAGAGGCATCCCTCGCCTCCGTCCAGTTGCCATTTGTGAAATAGAAGCATATGAGATACTCGAAATCGAGGATCGCTGTAGCCAGTGAGTTGAGCTGATCGCCCAGCCAGAAATCCGCGAAGCCCACATGAAAGAACGGTGCAGACAGACATCGTCCCGTAATCCGCCACAGCCAGAATCGTGCATCGTGATGGAGCACATGGAACGGATTGGCCAAAAACAGCACCATAATCAGCGTAAGCGTAAGCGGATTGATGAACGCCGGAATGGCCAAGCTGGCGCTATACAGGAAGCTCAGCATGCTGAGTGTCCAGATCACGCCGAAGATCGCCGCCAGTTCCATGAGATGCTGCTCGGATAGATGATTTCGCGGATCCAGCTCGAAGATGAGTACATGATTAACGCCAGAAGACCGCCAGCCGTAGATGTTCACGCCGATGAGGAAGATGAACTCAATAATGAGCAGGGGACCGCGGTAGAGTCGGAACGTGACCTTTAGGTTCTCGCCACTGATCTCATGGAAGATGGCTGACAGCACCACCACAATGCCCAGCACTATGAAGCTGCCGGAGAAGAGGCCCACCTTGAAGGTGGTCCACGGACTCTGTTGTTCGCCCAGCGGTGGTACTCGCAATCTCTTCATCGCTCGCTGCCGATCGCCGCCTTCCAGTTCGCCGGTGACCGTCGTCTCCGTTTCATTGATGATGTTGTCGATATCCTTGTTGGTGAAGAAGTGCGAGGCCTCTACATACTCCTGCCTCCATTTGGCACCGCTGTCCACACGCAAGAGCTGTCACAGAATATACAGATTTAAACTTTTAGAATACGCAATATATAATTATATATATATATAATATATTCAAATACTTCAAAATCCGATTAAGATAACTTGAGTTATGGAGTTTTGAACTTCAGCCTTGGGACATTTCTTGAATTGTTTTGATTTTGTACAACATTATACAACAAAAAAGTACAAAAATTATAAAAAAAAATAAATTTCTAAATTTGAATGCAGATTTTTAGAGAATTGCGCCAGAAACATTTAGAGGTATGCCACATAAAAATTCGATTAAGATAAGTTGAGTTATGGAGTTTAGAACTTCAGCCTTGGGTCATTTTTTGAATTGTTTTGAATTTGTACAACATTATACAACGAAAAAGTACAAAAATTAAAAAAAAAAAATTATTTCTAAATTTGAATGCAGCTGTTTAGAGAATTGCACCACAAACATTTAGAGGTAGGCCACGTCGAAATCCGATTAAGATAACTTAAGTTATGGAGTTTTGAACTTCAGCCTTGGGACATTTCTTCATTTTTTTGAATTTCTACAACATCATAACATCACAAATGACAAAAAATTAAAAAAAATTAAATTTCTAAATTTGAATGCAGATGTTTAGAGAATTGCACCAGAAACATTTAGAGGTATGCCACGTCGAAATCCGATTAAGATAACTTAAGTTATGGAGTTTTGAACTTCAGCCTTGGGACATTTCTTCATTTTTTTGAATTTCTACAACATCATAACATCACAAATGACAAAAAATTAAAAAAAATTAAATTTCTAAATTTGAATGCAGATGTTTAGAGAATTGCACCAGAAACATTTAGAGGTATGCCACGTCGAAATCCGATTAAGATAACTTGAGTTATGGAGTTTTGAACTTCAGCCTTGGGACATTTCTTCATTTTTTTGAATTTCTACAACATCATAACATCAAAAATGACAAAAAATTAAAAAAAAATTAAATTTCTAAATTTGAATGCAGATGTTTAGAGAATTGCACCAGAAACATTTAGAGGTATGCCACGTCGAAATCCGATTAAGATAACTTGAGTTATGGAGTTTTGAACTTCAGCCTTGGGACATTTCTTCATTTTTTTGAATTTCTACAACATCATAACATCAAAAAATGACAAAATTTAAAAAAAAAATTAAATTTTTAAATTTGAATGCAGCTGTTTAGAGAATTGCGCCAGAAACATTTAGAGGTATGCCACATAAAAATCCGATTAAGAGAAGTGGAGTTATGGAGTTTGCAACTTTAGCCTTGGGTCATTTTTTGACTTGTTTTGATTTTGTACAACATTATACAACAAAAAAGTACAAAAATTAAAAAAAAAAAAAAATTTCTAAATTTGAATGCAGATTTTTAGAGAATTGCGCCAGAAACATTTAGAGGTATGCCACTTCAAAATCCGATTAAAATAAGTTGAGTTATGGAGTTCAGAAATTCAGACTTGGGACATTTCTTTCATTTTCTACAATATACATACATAGAATGCTATAGTCGAGTTCCCCGACCCTACTATAAATTTGTATTATTTATTCCTCACACGAAATGTGTTTTGTATTCTGCGCCGCAGACTTAAGTTATCTAGTAATATATATCCAAAAATCTTGACTAGGTCAAGGCTGAGTAATGTCTCTGCGGCTGCCGTAAATCAGACTTACTTTATCGTGCTTCTTGAGTATTTTACGAAAGCCGGTGTGATTCAGATTCTGATAGTTCTGCAGGAGGATCAGACTGAGGTAGAATTCGCTGAAGGCCAACTTCAGTTCGCGCGCCTTGCGATCCGGCAAGGCAGCATGCCGTTTCTGGCCCTTGGACTTCTTGGCACTCCGCTCCGACTCCTCGATGGAAGTCTTCAGTTCGGCATTCAGGGTGGCAAACTTTCGCGTGGCTTCCGCCAGCTTCTCCGAGTAGAACGTGTTGATCTTCTTCAGCTCCTTGTCACAGTAGTGAAAGAAGTTCTCATCGAAGTTAGCGAAGTGCCGCTTCAGCACGTCGTCCTCGACGCTTTCCACCGATGGCGCCTCTTCCACGGCCAAATACAGCATGGCCTTCATTTCCTGCGGCACAAAAGTAGAGTTGTCAGTTGGTTTCTTGGTTCATTTGGGGTTCTGCCATTTCGAGCCAACACTCACCTCATAG